AGCCTGTCACCTCCTGCCACCAACATGCATCCCCCAACAGGGTTCCACAGCCAGAATTTTGGGGGTGGGCTCTGGCCCCAAATTCCCAGCCCTTCAGGGAGCCTTTTGGTCTGGAAAACATAGCTCCACAGGCTCAATCTGACCAATAGGCCATATATGACACCTCTGCTCTAAACCAAAAGGAAGACAAGTCACAAAATAAAGACTACTTGTACAATATATGTTTACTGTAATTAACCAAAACTTGTTATTGTGTACAAAGTTTAGTTGCATTGTGTCAATACTTGGCACCCCCAATACTGACTAGATGCTGTACCAAACATGAAATATGGTCTCTGCCCTACGCAGCTCACAGTCTAAGACTAGCATTATCCAGATTTTAGAGAGGGCTATAGTTAAAAGTTTTAAGTTCTATTTATATACTACATGCATAAAAGGGCTCATATCAGTTATATCTAACCTCTACTCAGGCTAATCTTTATCAATGGCCTCATGAAGGCTCACATCTTGCTTGAAACATTTGAAAAAAAAATACAGTTGCCTAATGGATCATTTTATGGAGGACATGACACATGAACAGAGCAATACAGAGTGGAGGCAGAGAGAACATGCTTTAAAATTCTTCCCAAGGAAATTGGAGAGGCATAGAGCATCAGTAGCAACCTTGGTTTCCAGTATTATCACAGCAGTCTTGCCTAATGATGCTTTCTATTGGTAGTAATGCAGTAATCACAGGTTGGCTTTAAAACATGCTAGAGTAAATTTCTCCAGCTAACAGAATACCATAAGCAGTGCTACCTATTTAAACTGGCAAATTCTTGTTGTTGAGCGCTTTTGTGGCTGACTCTCTTTAAACAATTATGCAAGTAACATCAAACATTATGGAGGAACACTTGAACAGATTGGGTGACTTTTTATCATGTTCTCTACCACTCACAAACAGGGAAGACTTGGACCAGATGAATGACTAGTCCCATTACAAATAGAGATATATTGTTGTTTTCTTGGAAGGGAAAAAGGCCGTCAAAATCACAAAAAATTAGCTTAACAGAAGAAAGAACAGTACAAGTAATATTGCTATGCATTCTGGAAAAGAATGAAATTCATGTCTTTGAACAAAAGGAAAAAACCCTGAGACTGACACCTTGAAAAATAAGCACACACTAATGAAAAAGTCCACTCTCCTGTGTGTCATTCTTTTTGAAACCAAATGAGGGTAATTTTTTTGCCCAGGCTGATTTTCTAGGACTGCCTTCTTTTAAAGTATCTACTAGGCACTACCTTTTGCTGAGTCCTTTGAAAAAGGTCAGTTTCTTCATCAACTCACTTGTCCTTGCTTTTAAAGACGTCAAAGATCCATAGTGATTGCAGTATGCCTCCTTAATTGACAGTCTGCCACTTCTACATGGGTGCAATTTACAGCATTCTCCAAAAGCCATACCTTCCCCACAAGTGAGTTCCTAGTATCCTGAAGGATATATAGCTTAGAAGCTCCTAAAGTGAAATCCTGGTGCCACTGAAAGCAATGGAATCCACGTTAAAATGGTCACTGATATGAATTTGCTTCCAACCTGTTTTTTATTCCATTTCTGGTATCCCACATCTCTAAAATTAAAACAATTAAAACTTACTGCTTTGGAGCAAAGGAAAGCTAAATTGTTTTCTTGATCTCAAATGCAACTATTCATACAGTGTGTGTAGTCTCTACAGCTCAGAAAATGTTTAGGAGCAGGCTAGACGGACAGGGATGATTCTGCCTTGAGTAGGAGGCTGGACTGCATGATCTTGTGAGATTCCTTCTAGCCCTACTTTGCTGTGATCCTGTAAAACTGGCCATGACTGTTTTGACAGTTTTGGATTACTAGTACCCATGTCCATTTGCACATACATGATACTACTTGACAGACTGTTGTCTACTTGAGCAGATGTTCTGAACATCCATGTTCCAAACCAGAAAACTGAAACGCACCAACTTATTTTCATTTTTAAATGAAAATGAATCTCTGATCTCCAGGTGTTTATTTTTGCAGGTGACAAATTCTAGATGCATTGATTACTCACTCTTGCTAAAGCAGTCTGGACTGTTCTTACCTAGTGCTCATCTGGGCAAATCATCCTTCTCTATGAGGTCACACCGTGGGTTTTCTTCCTGTCCATTGTAACAAATTCCAGCCTCATTCTAAACTTCAAAGGTCATCTTAGACTTCTGACACTGATCTCTTTCTGCTATCCTCTCTCTTCCCCACTCCTTCCCCAAACCCCAAATTTTTATTCTTCTTTGGCTTAGTTTCACACATTGGATGTGGTTGCAGCCTTGTGTCCTTTTTAACTTGGCAAGAGCTACATCAAGACTATTTACATTTACAGAACAGCTAATTCCTAAACCTCTTCTCTAAATAGGTTTCAGATTGCATGCCTGCCTGCCTGCCTGCCATATATTTTTCTATGGAAGATGTCCTGCAGACATCGGGTATCTGATGTAATCCTAGAAGGATTCTGCTGCCTCTTTGAACAACTGAGATTTGCAGGATGGCAACACAGACTTCAGTCTATACCTTTACTATCTAATATGCCTTGATATGCGTCTTTAAGATTAGATGCAAACTTGGATACAGTTGTCCACGAACTGACGTTTAAATTAGGACATCCAGCAGAAACAGGAAGGACCAAAAAAATCAGAAGCAAAGTACTAGAAGAAAGAAAAAGGGTAAGAAATTATGCAAGAGCTAAATACATTTTCTATAGCCAATCCATAGTGTATTAAAGACTTCTATATAAATTATAAAATCACTACACTTGCAACAACTTTTTCCTATGGTCTTGAAGTAGCAAGATACATGAAGAGAAGCCAAAAGGTAATGGAAAAAAAAATGAAGGTGCTAAACTTCATTTTTTAAATGCAAAGTATTACTTAAAAGCACCTCTGGGAATATGTTGCATAGCTTCTTCTGCTTCTCTAATTTAACATTTGTATCCAACTAATGGAAGAGAAGCACTACAGACTCACATATCAGCAATGTTACTGACACCCAGCACTATACCAAGTAGCAGAGATATGATCTGTATAGAGACTGGAACCTGGGAATGTTTTATGACATTTGAGTAATTTGTTCAACACTATACAGAACTTATATACAAATCTGTTCGCATGTGCATGCACACACTCTAAATAAAATGGGGACTACCGCCTAATTCCTAGAGATGCTTTTGGGCCATAACCCAAATTTAAGCATAAATATTACTAAAAGGCATCCCAGGATCTTCTGCCATTGCCTTTATTATCCAGGTAAAATTTTAGCATTTGTAGCAGAACTTAAATCACAAGGGGTCATGATCCTGATTTGGTCTTCTCTTCACTACAGTGTGGTACAATGTATTTCTACCAGGATCTCAATGCATACCACATTATTGGCAGAATTCTTGATGAGGAAAAAGGAGATTGGCATTTTGCAGCATTCATTTGAGTTTCCAACTACACAAATACATTATGAAACTTTCATAGACAGATGCAAATACCAGTACCTTCAAACTCTTTCAACCGCTAAGTTCAAACATTACACAAAAATAGCCCAGGTACGTAAAAAAGGGGTAGGGGGAGACTTGCAACGTAAATAAGGATGAGGTAAGAACTTCTAGTACAGCATATGTTTAGTAATTATTTTTGATTTGGTATCTTCCATCTGTAAATCTTGAAGGACTTTGGAAACACTGATGAACAGTACCTCTCAACAGTTCTATGAGGTACAGAAGCATTAGCCCTATTTTACAGATGGCAAGATTGAGATTATAAAATTAAAAAAATCAAATCAAATCACACAGTAAGTCTGTGGCTGAGCCAAGAATAGAACCACATATCATTTCCCTCCCATGTGAATACAAGCTGAGAAGATTAGCAGCACTTATAATGAATAGTAGAGAAAGTCTGCTGAAATTCAGTACTGCATTCTAGTCACCTAGAATGGTGTCAAAAATGCATTTAAAATGTCGAAAGCTTTTATAAAACTATGATTTTCATTCCTTATTTAAAACATCAACCATATTGCTATTCAAGAAATGCAGAGACCTGCACTTAAGTGTTTTCTCTTAAGAAAAATTCAGAGAAACTTCAGAGAATATTGCTACATTAATCTAAGCAGCATATTTGAATATCAGCTATCTTAAAATTTGGTGAGGTCTGCAAAAGTTATGATTCTTCTTTAGATAAGCCTTTTGAAAGATATCTAGCTTTTAATTTAATTTTATTTTGCATGTACAGTACTGATGTTCTATGGATTTAGGAACATTTTGTACACAAATATATTCTAACAGCATATGTGATAAAAAGTAGTCTTATATACCCATTTTACAGATGAACAACACTCAGAAACTTATTCCTATCTTATCTAAAGATAAGATTCCTAACTCCTAGCCCTATATTGTCTACTAAATAGACTTAGATCTTTCATAATAAATACAAAGTGCTAATTTGTAATTAATGCATGTACCACGGTTAGATAAAAATCTTACCATAAAGAACATTACAGAAGAAAATTATTCTTTTTGTACATGAAAATGGAGGCTTTCATGACAAACAGATTATGGACACTGAACAGCTGCCCTTCAATACTGCTAGTTCCTCAACTTTATAGTACATCATCAAAAATAAAACTGATGATAAGAGTATTGTTACTTACATATAGCTTATAGTATATTTTATAGTGAATACAGTTTTTAGACTGCTGAAAGTCTAAATGAGTGAAATGAAACTCTAAATGGGTGAACGCTAGATGAAAATCTAAGTAGTCAATGAGTGATTTTTGCATTTCATTAACAGATTTCTCAAAGTAAAGCCAATGTATTGGAATTATTTTCTAATGAACAAATACAATTTTTTAAAAGGACAAGTTCTCATTTTAAAGCTTCAACCATTCCTTACTGGGTTAGTTTCTGTGTGTAAAATGTGTCAGATAAACAAGAATATAGTCAGCAAGTTAAAATAAATTATCTTAATAAGATCTTACCTTTGAGCCATCCAAGCTGATTATCCTATAGACATTTCTTGTGCTGTCATAGAAATAGGACACAGTAACAGCATGCTTGCTGGTGGGAACCCAGTTCTTCTTAGTGTTTGGGTCAATCTGGAAGACATGAGCTCGGGTGCTGAAGATGGGCTGTTCCCTGAAGGGTAAAAAATAAAAGTGATGTATCTGATTTGGATGCAGTATGGTTGTACACAAGTGATCTGGTGATTCTGCCCATTGGGATGTACACACTTTGTTTTGCATGAATAATTTTCCCCACAAACTTTTAATGTAATTGCATAGAGCAGTTAATGGCATTAATATGCCCAGGCAAGCACAGCACAAGACTTCTAAAACAAACAAACACAATCAGTGACCAGCTGTAGAGTCAGATGAGAGAAAGACATATCTATATTTAGATTCATCACTGATCCATTACCTCCCCAGCCTCCACCCTCCATCTGTCTACCCCCTTAACACTGCCTGTCATTAATATAAGTGCAGTTTTATCTGATTACATTGTGCAGCAGTGTATATATTACTTCAAATCCTCCTTTTCCTTAAACTTTTTAATACTCTGATTACTCAGTCCTGATCCATAATCTGAAACTGAACTGGTCTGCTCAATTTAATTAAGCAACAGCTGATACTCATTAGCGATGGGAACACAGATTGTGAAATAAATGCTTATTCTATGTACCTCCACATTTGAACACTTTCACAAAATCCTGTATGTTATAAAGACACATGCTTTAAAAAAAAATCTAGGTCCTAAATTCTTGGATGAGCAAATTATAGTTGATAAAATCTTTTAATATACTTGAAATGTTAAAACTTTACTTTCCCCATGACATCACAATGTATAATACAGTATAAAAACCTAAAACTACTTAAGCATCATTAAGTCTAACAAAATTAGTGGCCTCTAAGGACGTTTATTCATAGAAGAGCCACTTTCTTTCCAAAATGTTAACTTAAATAATCAAATCATAGAAATAAATACCTTTGTCCCTGAAACATGGAAGATATTGTAATCATCTGTTTTGAAATGAAAGCTTCATAATTTTACAAGGAAGCAAAATTTAACACCTTGAGACCTGGAAGTTAACTCCCCTGCTGCAGCCTTTTGTTTTCAACCAAATTTGCATACCTGCAGAACAATCTTAACACAAGAGAAATTCCTTGCCCAGGAGAACCTTCCATCACCAATCCTCCTGTGAAATATGTAACATCATAACAAGAAAGAAGCATAATTCAACATCCTGCTTGCCACCAGACACCTTTGAGGTAAATAGACTGTACCAACTTATCTGAGCCTAATTTGCATAAAATGAAAAATGAACTTTTCCAGCCAGGAGATATTACTTCCTGTGAAATATGAATTTTCATTTCTACATGGGAGAAACTTTACAATCTTTGCATTCTCCTACGCCTGAGGAAAGGTGCATGTGTGCCTGAAAGCTTGCAAATAAAGAAAAAAAATGTTTTTACAACTGTCTAGTTGGTCTAATAAAAAAAGATGTCACCTCTAGCACACTGACTACCACCTTTACTACAGAGTCAAGTTCATAGATTCTCTGAGCTAGATTATACTCTCCATTTATGGAATCTGAGGAAACATATCCATCTAGCTGAACTTGAAAGGAATGAGTCACTGCTGTCTGTGAACATCTTTACTTCCCCAGATACCTGGTCATCATGGGTGACCTGAAGTTCCCAGACATCTGCTGGGAAGAGCAGTCAGCCAGGTCTG